CTAACATAGTGTTGGTAGTGTTATCTTATTAGTATTAATTAGAAACGCGCTCTCGATTCCCGATCTACTGAATAGGTCTCTATACGTTGTTATATATACACGCTAAACTCTAAAGTACTCTATTACAATATAATAGTCGGAACGTAATTTATTTATAGTTTTAGAGGCATTACTCTTAGTACGGCTATAGCATTAAATATTTAGATATCGTATTCTCGTTATTTTTCGATTTAAAAACCACTACGGAAAATACTAGTATTATACTATAAAGAAGAAATCGATATAATCGAATAGATTAAATAAGTCATCTAAATAATCGAAAGAATATAATAGTTAAGTGAAAAGTTCGTACTAGAAATCGCTAATTATATTAAAGGCGATCTAGAATTAGAGGTAGTATTTAAAAATAAAGTAATTAAGAATAAGAAGACTAAAAGATTTTAAGTATTAATTAAAGAAGTAATTAATAATTAAAATAAGTATAACGAAATTAAGAGAAGATTCATTAAAGATATTAATTATATTAGAAGCTAAAATATAACTCTATTTCTAAAGAATACGAGCGGTAAAAATACGATTAGTCGAAAGTTTAGATAATAAATAATCGAAGATTTTTAGAAAGATATTATAATATAGTAACTAAGTAATATAGCGTATATACTAAAGAAGCTCTAATATATAAAAATAGCGCCTAAGCTACGGGACGAAATATCTATAAATATATTACGTCGAATTAATTATTAAATAATAAAGCGACTAATCGGTCTTACGAATATAAAGTTTTCTTAATTAGTACCGTAACGAATCGATATCTTTACGATATAGTCGAACTTAGACGATTTTAGAAACGCTATAAATAATTATAGATATTTATAAGTTATAGCTACGCGTTTAAAATATTATCTTTAATTAAAGAATAGATTACACTAGCTAAATAGTGTAGAGTTACTAAATACGTATAATTTAATACTCATCGAGGGTCTTCTAAAGATACCGATTAATTAAATTAATTAAGTTAAATAGAACCTTATTATAGAAAAGAAACTAACTATAAAACCGTCTATTAAGAAATTTATAGAGAAGAGATCTAGTAAGACACTAACGAAAGACGAGATCGAAGATTAATTAAAGAACTTCTAAGAATAAGCGATAAAATCTTCGTCTTTACTAACCGTATTTAAGAAATAGCCGAAAGAAGAGTAGAGATATTAAAAGCGAAATATTCTAAATTACTTTAAGAATAAGTCTATAATGAAAAAGCTTACTAAAATTAAAGAAAGAGAAGTCGTAATTAAGAAAGCGACTAAAAAGTAATTAGAAATTCGAAACGAATATATTAAAATAGTGATTTAGCTTAGAAAGAGATCGCGGTTAATACCGTTAATTCTAAGAATATCTTTAAAGATAGAAGTAAGAGCTTCTAAGCGAATATACTTTTTATTTATCGAATAAGCGTTTACGAAAACTAAAGAAATTATTACTAATAGTAAATATCTTCGTAGAGAGTTTTAAGAGTTATCTTCGTTCTTTAATACGAGACTATATAAATAAAATCTATTAAGAAATTCTTTTAATATAAAAAGATTAATATAGAAGATTATTATAGACTAATTTAAGAGAGTTAGATATAATATAAATAGAGATACTTTAACGAAACGATAAGTGAATAAAGTAGTTTAGTATAAATCTAAAGCTATTATATAAGTATTCTAAAGATTAATCGAGATATTATCGACTAATATTAGTTCGAGGTAATCTCTTTAATATTACGCTGCCCTCGAAGTAATTCGAATTATAAAAAGAGTAAAGACTAAAAAAGAGACATTAGAAATTTAGCGAATTTAAGACGCTTTAAAGAAATTTAAAGAGTATAGTCGCGGAGTAAAGAAACGTCTTCGCGGCGAAAATTATTATTCGGGAAAATATATAATTAATAAGAAAGAATTAAAATATCTTTTACTTAGTATAGATTATAACGATTAGTTATCTATAGATTACGTTATTAAAGATATCGCGGTCTATTAAAAGTACTAAGTAAAAGACGAATAAAATATAATCTATTTATATAACGTTCGAGAGATATTTACGTTTATAATTTAACCGCGATCGTAGCGATAAAATAAGTTTATATAGAAGAAGCTAATTCTTTATCGAGAGATTAATCATTAGTAGTTAATATACGTCGATCTCGATTCTCGAATCGTTTACGCTATAGATTCGATTAGAAAGCGCATAGTAAAAGACTTAATAATTTCAATTATTTTAGAGTATCTTAACTCTTAAGTTCGAGTAAAGCTTAAAGACGGTAGATAGTTTATATTTTAGAATATTAATATTAATAAATAACTAAATAACTATAATTACGGAATATTTATTATCTTTTAGATTAGAGCTCTTATAGAAAATAGTATTAAAGCTATTAAAGAAGTTAAAATCGACACTTCTTATTAAGTTTAACTTATTTAGAATATTCATTAAGCTATTATTAGAAATAAAAAAATATTATTATTATAGTTATCTCGCGTAGAAACTAGTGAGTAATAGCTATTAAAGCTTATTATAATAGTTACTCTAAATAAAAGTATTATTAATCTTATTAACTAAGAGAATATAAACTAAATATTATAAGCTTATATCGATTTATATAGCGAAGAGAGAATAGATTTAGAATATAATAGTAATAACTCTTAGAATAGAATTTTAACGCGAAGAGTAAATCCTCTCTTTCCTCGCGTTGCTTAATTAGTTAAGGAAGAATTCTAAGAGCGAATTCTAGAATTACCGAGTAATATTAGTATAGAAATAGACTCGACTCTAAGATAGAGTAGTTATTAAAGCGAAATATTAAAAGTATCTTCGATATTCTTATATAGACCGAGTAGATCTATTATATCTACTAGTGATGTTTTAGTTCGTATTCTAAATCTAATAAGAGAGAAGAATTTACCCTCGTTACGAGCTTCTTCTTATAGTACTACGAATCTACTCTTTAGGTAATAATAGAGTTAGATAATTCTTAAGTATACTATATACTATCGAACGAGGTCGTTCTATAAATAGGAGAGGAAGAAATATAATAAGATAAGGTAACTATATTATAATGGGCCGTACTAAGTTAGTAGAGCGGTGATAAAGAGAAAAAGTTATTTAGTTATATATTAAATCTAAATGGGCTGGTAGAAGAAGGTGTAGAATAGTTTATAGTGCTGGTAGTAAGCTATTTATTAGAGATTAAGTAGAGTATTATGAATTCTATAGTTTTTAGCGCCGTCTATCTAATTTCTAAGTGTTTTTTATTAGTCCTGTTCTATTCGTCGATGCTTCCGCTGTGCTAGGTGTTTATAGCCCTAGTCGCTGCCCCTCTAGATGGTATTGGTGGTGTTGTCTTGTTAGTGTCAACTAGAAACGCGTTCTCGATTTCCGATCTGCTGGATAGGCCTCTGTGCGTTGTTGCACGTGCACGCTAAACCCTGAAGTGCTCTATTATAATATGAGCCTTACTATCTATATATTAGATAGTTCTCTAAGTCCTCCGAATAAATATATAGAAGGATCCATAGAAGAATAAGGCTGAGTTACGTAATATACTCTATTAGCTCTATTAGAATTATTACTAGGAACCCTAACTTAGTTAGGCCCCGGTAGAAACCTTAACAACTAATAAAACACTTAGGAATTAGATAGACAGCGCTAAAAAGCCATAGAATTCATAATACTCTGCTTAAAACTGTAATGAATGGTACACTGCCAGTACTATAAACTGTTCCGCACCCCCTTCTCTACCAGCTCATTTAAATTTAACATGTGACCTCATAGATCTCTGTCTATCACCGCTCTATCAGCTCAGCATAGCATAGTCATCTCGCCTTATTATAATATATATATTAAATTTTAAAGTACTTTATTATAATATTATAATAGAGTACTTTAGAGTTCTATATATATATATATAATAATATATAGAGACCTATTTAGTAGATCGAGAATTAAGAACGCGTTTCTAGTTAATATTAATAAGATATTATTAACACTACTTAGAGAGGTAGCGGTTAGAGCTACGAATATCTAGCATAGCGGAAGTATCGAGGAATAGAATAGAACTGATAAAATACTTAAGAATAGGCTAACGGTATTAAAACTATTGAATTTATGATACTCTGCTTAAACTATAATGAATGATATACTGTCAGCACTATAAACTGTTCCGCACCCCCCTCTCTGCCAGCCCATTTTAGTTTGATATGTAAATAGATAACTTTTTCTCTCTGCCATCGCTCTACCAGCCTAGCACAGTTCATCACAGCACAGCCACTTTACCTTATTACACTAGGAATAGTATAGTTTAATAGCTAATATAAATTAATATCTAGGGATAATGAGGGTGTAATATATCTTTTACGCTCTATGCGTTCTGTGAGCTCTGCTAACAGAGCTAATAGAGCTAATAGAGCCAATAGGGCGTATGACGTAACTTAGCTATGTTCCTCTATAGATTCTTCTATATATTCAATGAGTGTGGTGAGTCGTGCCTGTGCGACTCGTGACCGGTCCTTCCCAAGGCTGTGTCTAACACTACTTCGCTTAATTTACGTTTTCTACCTCGATTAGTCTTATTACCAGCGCTCCTAGTATTCTATGGCTTAAGAGTTCGCTTTTCTATTAAGCCAAAGACGTCGTGAGCCTGGAAGATTTAGCATTAAGTCTTTTTACCTTATAGGTTAGTCTAATCTAAGATAATTCACTGTCGTCGTAAAGTTTTAACTATAGTGCCTTTTTTTTACGGGCTTAATTAAGTTAAATTATTAGATATATCTTCTCATCGACGACTTTTTCGACCTTAATCTTAAGAACTTATTATCTCCTAGTAATTACTATAAAAAATCGAAAGGTTTAAAGGGTAGATAAAGGTAAACTAGACGCGTTTATACGCGTCTTAGATCTCGGGAATAAGGGTTCATTATTTTTAGCGCTAAGCACTAGGCGTCCTTATTAATGATTACTATAATGATTTGGCCATCTCTTAATCGCCTCTTTAAACCCCATCCCGCCTTTTACGTCCTCTAGTAATCCGTCATCTGCTTTCTTATGCACCGGTAACGACTCCATCACCTCGCTTAACTTCTCCCTCGGAATCACACAACAAACCATCTCTGCTTCATCCGCCACCAATAAGTCTCCTGGCTTAATCACCACATCTCCAATTTTTATTGGCACATCCACCGCCCATGGCTTTCCCTGTAGGCTCGTACCAGGACTCGTCAACGCCTTTGCCCAGCACTGAAAATTTCCATCCTTGCATAGCTCACCACATCCAACAATATCACGAGCTCGCCCATCGATAAAGCAGCCTCTAATGCCACGGACTTTGTAGCGGGTAGCTACGATATCGCCTAATAGAGCAGCGATCTGATGCGAGGGCTGCTGCATAAGGACCACAGATCCAGTAGGCGCAACGTCGGAGAAGTGTTTATCGCCTGGGAGATTGGATTCCGAAGGTACTATCAAGTCGTCGTATTCGGTGCCTGGGGTATGGGCGTTGTCGACAAAAAGCACGGTGCTGATAGGGGCAACAAGGCGGTTGCTCGAGCCACGACGAGTGGGAATCGGTGAGATGTCGCGAAGGAAGCCGGCAGAGGGAATATGAAGTTTCAACAGAGCATCAGAGACGTCACAAGGCGAGTACGACTGCGAGATCAGGGCGCAGATTAACGGGATGTCGAGTCCGTTAGTCATGATTTTTGTCGTTGGATTTCAGATAATTGATATTTTACTAAGCTTTGTCCGACCGCATTCCGGTTTCGAGATTATTCATTAAATATATCGTATATTGGAAATAGGCCGAGGTTATCTACCCCATATTTTAGTTGGAGATTCTAAGGAGGTTCTTAGTAAGCGCAGAGTCAGCGCTTCCCCGCACACGTGGAGATTTAACTAAGTGCTTATACGAGGGCGCGCACTAAAAGGTGTGACCGGCGCTATTGTTTAGAGCCTAGCCTAGCAGGCCGATCTAGCCTAATGTAGAACTAGGTTTTCGTTCCACAGCCAATTTTATATTGTGAATAGAAGTCTTCTAATACGCCTTTCTACACCTTGCTAAATAGTCACACCGTCTCTTATATCTGGGTTAACCGTAGTATATTACGAGCCTCAGGGCTAGAAAGGTCTATTCTATAGCTAACTTTATATATTTCGCTATACCTTTAATTAATTTATATGCAGAATAAGCCCGTTAACGCGAAATCTCGCGGCCGCGAGTACCTCATAAACTACGCGTTTAAAGATGTTAGAGATTCCTTAGTAAGTAGGCAGAATCAAACGATAAGCGTATATATAAGATATCTCTATAGTATATAGTCGATACTGTACACGACTCAAAGTATTTAAAGAGAGGGAGTAGTGCGCCTTCTATGCGGGGAGTGTGCTAGTAATAAGGATGCACTCCTCGAGTCGCATCTCTTGGCTGGTGGTCTAATTGTATTAGGCGTCCGTCCTTCCGATGTTTAGCCGAATCCGTAACATTAAGACCACGAAAAAAGTGCCTGATAGAACGGCTAGAAGAATTTTTTAAAAGGTAAAATAGCGCGGATATCATCTATAGAAGAATCTTCGTATTAAAAGACGATATAATAATAGAAAGACTAAAGAAAGTAATCGACGAGGTAAAACGATGTGTTTTAACACTCATTAAGAAGAATAGATTAGATAGAGAGAAATCGAGTAACGTCCTAGTCTATGAATTTAGTATTAGTTCATTATTAATATTACGTATTCTTCATAAGAATAAGCTTAATAATATTAAGCTAATAAGAAAACCTTACTTATCGAAGACTTAGCGTTTAGTTTAACTTTAGTTCTATCTTCGTTATAAGAATTAGATATTAGAGAACTAGAAGAATATAATCTTTAGCGACGAGACTTCCGTTATTCTAGTGTAATGGGAGAAGTTTAAAGTAGAGAATAGCTTTATGATTAGCTGGGGCGTCGACGCTAGACTAAGGTTCTTCTTATATAGTTATCGGGGACTATCATTCATAGAATAATTAATTAAGTTATGAACGGGAGAACTTTCTTTGGTTAAGTGTGCGTGCTGTGAAGAGGCTATCTCACCGCCGTACGAGTTGACGCCTATAGCTAGTAGTCTCGCCCTAGTTTAGTGATATCACTAATAAGATCTTCGACGAATACTTACGAATAGATATCTCTCTACGAGCGGTGAGAGAAGATTACGATGAACGACTAAAATAAACTACTTGTTAAACTAATAGAACTAAAGAATTATTTATTTATCTATCTAACTAAATCTAAAGAAACTAACTATATATATAGAACCGCTACGTAGAGTATACTATTTAGATTACTAGCTAAGTAAGTCTATCTCGCTATACGAGGCGGTTTACGCTGGCTATTCATAAAGACCGCTACTCGAGGTACCTTTTAAAATTACTAGCTATATATATTTACTACCACTATATAGAGTAAAGACTAACGACTTAACGACTATTTAGACTACCTAGAAGAACTAAAAGAGAAGCATCTTCTAGGAACGTAGAAATACGTTTAACTCTAAAAACTTCGAACTTAAGAAGCTTAGAAGGAGTCGAAGAACGCGGATTTACTTAAGAAATAATAAAAATAAGTGGTTAAACTAAATTTACTAAAATAAACGAAGTTAGAGCGCTACTAATCGAGAAGTGAATCTAGAATTTTAATAAAAATTACTAGTGAAGATAAGAAAGAAGCTTAACGAGGAAGTCGATAAAGAGATAAAGAGAGAAAAAAGAGAAATAACTAAAAATATTAATAAAAATAATAAAAATAATAAAAATATCTAAATCTTTTAGTTTCGTTATTAAGATTTATATTATTTCGATTATAAAAGAAGAAGTAAGAACGATTTAATATTAGTAAAATAACGTCTACGAAAGAATCGAATAGTAAAGAAAAGCTAAGGCCTTCTACGATATTAAGTATTAACTTATAAGATCTATCGACGTCGAATTCGACGATATAATCGTTATACGCTTCTTCTACTATAATATTAATAAGAGAAATATCTTAGAGCTCGAACGAAAGTAATAATCTTCTATACTTTAATAGAAAGAACGCTATCTCTTTCTTCGAGAAGTTTAAAGAGCTATATAAATATAATTAAGTTATATTAAGCGAAGAACGTATTCGTAGATTTATTCGCTTTATATTTAAAGTAAAGAAAGAACGCTATAAAGAGCTCGCTAAGTATAACGTAATAAATTAAGAAAAGTTTAAAGAGAAGATCTTAAATAAATATAAGAATTAAGACGAAGTGTAGCGAATAATAAGTATTTAATATCTTTAGATACTTACGAAGCACCGGCGAAAGAAATCTTAAAGTCTAGAGTTATATCTCCGTTAATTTCGTAAGGCTATAACTTACTTAATTAAAATCGAAGCTAAGACTAACTATACTTACTATCGCCTTCTTTTATTTAGATTATTAAAGACTTATATAAATAAGATTCGAAAGAAATAAAATTTAATAAATCGAAAGCCGAAGAATTCGAACTTTTAGAAATACTAAAATTAGATAAAAGAGCTATAGAATATTAATAATAAAAATAAGAAGTTTATATAAGGAGTACTCGACGAGAAGTTCTAAGAACTAACGTACGAAAGAAAGACTTAATTCTTAGTCGTTCGAAAGAAAGAATCGTAAGAATAATATCGTCGTAACGATCGTACGGATAGTAAAACGAAGTTCGATAGAAATACTTTATCGCTGGTAAATCGATCTCTTACTTCTAAGAATAATAATTAATCGGTGAAGGAATTAACTTATTTAATAAAAGCACTAACACTACCGATTTAGATACGAAACGCTATTACTTTAGACTTTTTAACTCGATTAATTAAGGTATTAAAGAGCGTTCCTTAAGAAGCGATTTAGTCCTCGCGCGATTAGTAATTCTAAAATTATTGGATTCGATTCGAAGAGAAGTCGTAATACTACGATAAGTAGTCTAGTCGACGGAGTTTAAACTTAAGTAATTCTAAAGAAAATTACTTTCTCTATAATTAGTCGGAATATATATTACGAGATAACTCTTAATAAGTATATTAAAAAGCTATAAGAGCGTTATATCTTAATCTAGAATATAGAATCGCTCTTAGAAAGTTTTAAGATTAAGATCGTTCTTTATCTACTCTACTAATTCTTACGAGAGAGACTAAGATAGAAAGATTAGAATAGATTACGCGAGAGATCGATAAGAATTCGGAAGTTATATTCGAATAGTCTTATAGTATATAAGACTTTAATTCTACGTCACTAGTAGCGAAGTTAAGTATTATTTACGTAGTCGAATCGAGATCTAATTACGCTACTCTAGACGACTTCGAAGATAATTTCCGTATCTCGAATACTATAGATCTAAAAGGAATTCGTATAAATTAATTCTAAAGTAAAGCTTATATAGATACTCTAGGAAAACGCTTAGCTTCTTAATAAGACGAATATACGTAAGCGAAATACCCTCGAATTAAAGCTTACGAACCTTCTATAAAAGAACTAAGACGATATATAACGCGACGAACGAAATCTAATAGAGAAATTATATATAACGGAATCGTAGATAATTCGTCGAATCCGATTAGCTTAACTAATTAAAGACCGAGAATTTCTTTATATAATATATAGAATAAGCGATTACGTAATCTAATCTCCTAGAATACCGTAATAAGAGATTTATTAGAGTCTTCTTAGTCTCGTTAAATATTATTATGTTCTTAAGTTATAAAAGAGACTACGTACGGACTACCTAGATCTAGGTCTCTTCGAAAGATATTATTATAAGATCTAAATAGTGCCGGAAAGATCGTAAACTATTTATTAAATTAAGAAGTCTTAATTTAAATAGAGAACTTACTATCGATAAAAGAGATTCGGAATAAGTAGTTCTTCCGTAAATATTAGTATTACGACGAAGATAAGTAAGAGCTCGTTTATTAAAGTTATATTTCGAAAGATAGCGGCGTAAGACTTATATAAGCGGAAGAGAAACCTACTACTAAAGTTAATACGGTGTAAATAAACTCATTAGTGAATCGCTCGATTTATCTAAGGTTATACTATAATAAGTGCCTTTATCTATCTATTAAGATAAGAGATAAATATAAAGACTCCTTACTAAATATTAAAGTTAAGATTAATTTAATAACTCTCGCTCTAGTTAAAGAGATAAAACTATCTTAATATATACGAAAAACTAAGTTTATCTATAACGCCGTAGACTTTAATAGCGACCGAGAAAAGTTTATAAGAATAATTAAAGATTTTATAGTTAGTATCGCTAAGATTAAGGTCTTAATAAACGTCTATATAACGAATACTATAGACCCGATATACCGTTTTATTTTAGAAAGGCTATTTTAGAAGATAGCTTAAGAATTAGTCTAGGAAAAGAACGAAGATACTTATATTATAGATTTAATAAATAGCTACGTCGGTAAGAGAGTATAAATAGTCGCATAGACTACTTCTAACTTCGATGAAAATCGAGATATATCTACGATATTTAAGCTTATATACTTAGCTTCTTTAAAAGACTAAGCGAGTATAAGATAATAAAGAAGCTCGTACTCGCGTTAATAAGAGCTTAGAAGAAATCTAGAACGCTAGCTCTTAACTTTAAGATAAACTAGAGCGGTAATTTAATTTCGGCAACGAATTTCTTCGTAATAGGCGACGACGACCTTTA